TTTTAAGGACTTTAGACATTTCATTGAGCTGAACAGACTAGTTGATATTGGTTTTGAAGGCCACCCTTGGACATGGAGCAATCACTGGGACAATGAGGGGGAGATTCGTCAAAGGCTAGATAGAGCTTTGGGTAGTATGGATTGGTTTCAAGATTGTGAGAGTGCTAAGTGTCACCACATTGAGACTCTAGCGTCTGACCACTCGTTGCTTTTGTTAGACACCAATCCAGGGATAGAAAGGAAAAAAAAAGAGGTTTTACTTTGACAAGAGGTGGCTTCAAAAAGAGGGGATCCAGCAAGTAGTGGAGCAAGCCTGGAGTAGGGAGGAACAGGGTTCAAAATTGTTCAAAGTGACTAGAAAGATTAGGAATTGCAGAATTGAACTCTTGAAGTGGAGAAATAATGCCCAGACTAACTCTAGGAGTAAGATTGACGGCCTTAAGCAGGATCTTGAGAAGACTAGGAATGCTGGTTTAGCTAACAAAAAGGAGAAATGTCAGGATCTCAAAAGACAGCTGGCTAATGCTTACAAGGAGGAAGAAGCTTTCTGGAGCCAGAAGTCCAAAATCAGCTGGTTGAGAGAAGGGGATAAAAATACTAAATATTTTCACTCTTTTGTCAAGGGGAGGCGTGTGAGTAATAGATTGAACAGGTTACAAAGAGAGGATGGTTCTTGGACTGCGAATGAAGAGGAGGTAGTGACTGAACTTTCTGAGTACTTTAAGGACCTGTTTACGAGTGGTGGGAAGGATGATATGACAGAAATCTTAGAGGGAATTCCACACTATATTACTCAGGAGATGAATGATAAGTTAACCAAGGAAGTTATGGAGGAAGAAATTCATGATGCTTTGTTCTCTATGAATCCAGAAAAAGCCCCTGGACAAGATGGAATGACTCCTTTGTTTTTTCAGAAATTCTGGAATACTATTAAAAGTGACATAATTTTAGCTATTAAAGCTTTTTTCCACTCAGGCCACATGCTCAAATCAGTCAACCACACTGTTATATCCCTTATTCCCAAAATTCTGCACCCAACCAATCTGAAAAATTTCAGGCCTATCAGTCTATGTAGTGTGCTATATAAAATCTTATCAAAAATTTTGGCAAATAGACTGAAATCTGTCCTGGATCTGTGTATTAGCAAAACTCAATCTGCTTTCATCCCAGAAAGACAGATTCTAGATAATGTGATCATTGCTCATGAGTACATGCATTTTCTTAAAAATAAAAGACAAGGGAAAGATGGATACATGGCTATCAAATTGGACATGACAAAGGCTTATGATAGGGTGGAGTGGCAATGCTTGTTGAAAATGATGGAAAAGATGGGTTTCTGCTCTAAATGGATTAACTGGATTCATAGCTGTTTGAAGATAGTGAGTTACTCTTTCAACTGTAATGGTGAGATTAAAGGTTTTGTGACACCAGAAAGAGGGATAAGGCAGGGAGACCCTTTGTCTCCATATCTGTTTCTAATATGTTCAGAGGGCTTCTCCAATTTGCTAAGAAGGGCTGAGGAAAGCAAAAGAATCCAGGGACTCAAAATCAGCAGACTTGGTCCAGTGCTAACACATCTGTTCTTTGCGGATGACTCTATCATATTTTGTAAGGCTCATAAGAATGAGGCTGTGGAAATTATGAAGGTGCTGAAAACATATGAAAATGCCTCGGGACAGTTAGTCAACCTGGACAAATCAGCAGTATTTTTTAGCAAAAATGTGGACGATGAGCAGAAGAAGGAGATATGCCTGGCATTAGGAGGAATGGCAGAGGCTAAGCAAGGCAAATACCTGGGACTCCCTATGGTAGTATCAAGATCTAAAGAGCAGATCTTTGGTTTTGTGAGAGATAATATAAGGAAAAGATGTCAGAATTGGAAAAACAAACTATTGAGTCCAGCAGGTAAGGAAGTGTTGCTGAAAGCAGTTGTTATGGCAATGCCCACATACGTGATGTCTTGTTTTAAGCTGTCCAGAAGATTGTGTAAAGATATATGTGCATTGATGGCCAACTTCTGGTGGGGTGAAGCTAATGGTAAGAACAAAATGCACTGGCTGTCTTGGGAAAAAATGGCAATGGCAAAAAGTGCAGGAGGTCTAGGCTTTAAGGATATTGAAGCTTTCAATCAAGCACTGTTAGGAAAGCAAGTTTGGAGGATACTTACTAAACCAAATCTGTTGGTTAGTAAGGTGTTGAAATCCAGATATTCTCCTCAGGAATCGATACTACAGTGTAGTCTCCCCAGAAATGCATCCTGGATTTGGCAAGGACTCATGGGGGCAAGAAGTTTAATCAATGCTGGAATAATAAGAAGGATAGGAAATGGAAGGAGTACAAATATATGGAGCCACAAGTGGATTCCAGACACTGATACAGGGAAGCCAACTACTAGTCGAGGGAATCATTGTGAGCTGGAAAAAGTGGAGGAGCTTATTTGTTAGCATAGGTGGAACAGAAACATCATATTCAGATTTTTCAATAGCAATGATGCACAAAAAATTTTAGCTATTCCTCTGAGTCTAGCTGATAGGGAAGATAGCTTTTATTGGCAACCAAAGGTGTGAGGGATGTACACTGTCAATTCTGGTTATAAATTTCTGATGAAGCATCACAGAAAGAGAGGCAGGCGCAGGCAGGAAGGAGCTAGCTCTAGCTATACAGCAAGTGATTCGGAGTTAGCTCAGATGTGGAATACACTGTGGAGTTTAAACATCAAACATAAAATCAAATTTTTCATCTGGAAATGCATTCAAGGTGCTCTGCCTGTGAAAGCAGCAGTAAATAGACGAACGGGGGTGGGTGATCCGATATGTAAGATGTGTGGATTAGCACAGGAAACAGTCGAACATCTTCTGCTGAATTGCCCCCACACGGAAAACATATGGAAGGCATCTCCCATTCAGTGGGATGGAGCAAAGGAGCAGCAGGGAGATTTCAAAAGGTGGTGGTGAAGAATCTCTGAAGCAAGGCACAGGTCAGAAGGGATGGAACACATTGGATTAACTGCAAACATCCTGTGGCAGGTGTGGAAAGAAAGAAACAAAAGAGAATTCGAGAACGCTACCTTTGATCCCCCCTTCAAATCTATAAGGAAAGCTCATTCGGAATGGTTAGAGCAGCAGCAGATAGAGTACAAAGAGAAAGGAGAGAGCACGTTTGAAACAGTCCCTAGGCAAGATGCTCAGAATCAGAATTACGTAAATGAAGGAGAAGTGCTAATGGAGGTGAATACAACCACGAAGCAAGGGCAGTTGTTTGTGGGAATTGGAGTCACAGTTCAGCTTTTTGCAAGTAACACGATGATAGGGTGGGCACTGAAAGACATTAGTTCTGGAAACAAAATCCTAGATGAAGCTTTGGCACTGAAGCTGGTGTTGTGTAAAGCTGTACAACGCAAGTGGAGCAATCTTAAGCTGAGATTTTGTAACAAGGAACTGTGGAGACAATTAAAATATCAGAGCCCAGCAAACAGCAAAATGGCAACAGTACTTGAAGACATCTCTCAGTTACAGAGATTGTTTTGCATGTGCTCTTTTGTTTTGGATAGGGAAGAAAATATGATAGTCAGTAAAACACTGAGTGTTGATGCTTTAAGTATTATTGTGGATGAGGAGCGACAGCTTCCTCAGTGTCTTTGAACACTAGTTTGTAGAGTTCCGATCGAGCCGTTGCTCGCACTTGTAATTTTTTACCATGAAAGCAATGAAATCATCTTATCGTTTCGACAAAAAAAAAAAAAAAAAGACAATTGTTGGGCCTAAGCTAAGCCCGTTAGCTCTAAGAGGCAATTTTGGTGATTCTAGATTCTGACTTTCCAGCATTATTAAGGGCCTGTTTGGCACCCTAGTTTTTACCAAGTTTTTTAGCTACTAATTTTTTTAACTTTTGCTACAGGAACCCCAAAAAATTTTAAAATTTTTTTACCTACACACTTCAAAAATCTATACACAAAAAATTTCCCAAAAACTTTTCTTCCTCCCTCACCCAACCCACCACACTAGCCACCACCTCCACCACCTCTCTCGGCGCCGGTCACCTCCGGGGCCGGTAACTCAAAAAAAAATTTTGAGTCCCTCACCCTCTTCCCCTCTCCCTTCTCCGCCACCCTACCTCTCTCTGCTCTACGATCTGGGACCAGACCGCAAAGGGGGAGGGGGAGGGGGCTGCTATCTGGTCGCTTTGCGATCTGGTCACGCGACCAGATCGCACCTAGCAAGAGGGGGAGGGTGGCGGAGGAGGGAGAGGGGAAGAGGGGAGGGGAGGGAGGGAGAGAAAAGGCAAAAAAAAATAATAATGCACAGCTGCCGGCCTTCCTCGGGCGTTGGAGTGCGAGGGGGAGGGGAGAGGGGAGAGGGGAAGAAAGGGGGAGAGTGGGTAGAGGGGGTGGCGGGGGAGGGAGAGAGAGGGTGGCGGGCCTAGGGGGTAGCGGGCAGAGGGGAGGAAAGAAATTGTGAAAAGTTTGGCCGTGGCGGGGAGAGAGGGAGGAAAGGGTGGTGGGAGAGGGAGGGGAGGGGGAAAAAGCCAAAAAAAAAAAAAAAAAAAAGAAGAACAGAGGCGGTGCTGACGGAGGTGCTGGAGGTGGGAGACAAAGGAGAGGTAACGGGGAAGGGAGAGGGGGAAGGAAGAAGAAGAAGAAGAGGAGAGGAAAGAAAAGAAAAAGAAAGGAAAGAAAAAGAAAAAGAAAGAAAAAGATAAAAAGAAAAGGAAGGATGGGCATCTTCTCTGACTTTTGACAATCTAGTTCTATTGAACAAATAAACTGGTTTACTCAACCCTTTCAAAGCTCTCTCCAGCACAGTTTCTGCTGGATGAGCTTCTCCTGGATCTTTAATTGGCTCCTTCTCTCCTCCACAATTTCCACTTGGACCCGCAAAACTGATTCGAGGAATCAATGACAAAAAAAAATTTTGGGAAAGAAAAAGAGAAGATTATGAGTAATAAAATTGAAAAAAAAAGAGAATAAATTATCAAAATCAGTTCTAATAAGTAATGATAGCTCACGTTGCATGATCTGAAGAAACTCCCTGAAATATGATCTTGGTTTTTGATGCATCTACCCGAGATTTTACCCATCTGGCCCATGTATTTAGAGCTTTTTCATAGGCAAGCAGACGATTCATATCCTTGTACAAAACATTCTTGTACTGAATAACGTCCCAACTGCTCAACAACCAACATGTTGGCTTGTTAATAACCTCGAGTATAACAAATTAATGTCTACATATTCAAGAAAAAATGTTCCCAGTTGACAATTTCTAATCAAATAACAAGGTCTCCAAAGCACAGTTTTTACTTCATTAACTTTTCTCAAAATTAATATTTACTAATTCTTGATGAACGTTTGGCTACCACTAGTATTTGGTCCTGCTATTGTATATAGTATTATCTTAATGTTGCTGATCAAAGAGAAGAAATTTTTACGTACCCTTGTTTGCTTCCAGTATGAAGCCACCAATGCCAAGAGTTGAACATGAGCGTATCAATTCCTTCCCATGTTTTACTAGCACTAATGGAGTCTAGCTTCAGAACCCGCAAGTTTTCTTCATTTCTTATATCAACCAAAAATGCTTTGCGGGAGAACAAGATCGAAACATTGTATGTCTGCATTCATTCCACCATTGACAGACAAATTTTGAGTTTTATTTCAAATCCAGCTCTGAATTCTCTAAGAGGACTGTGTTCGGATTTAGGAATTTAACGAATATTTTAGAGTTTGAATGTATTCAAGTATTTAGTGGATGACAAATTCAGTTACCTTCCGTATAATTCACACGATCTGAAGGGATTTACAATGATTTTAAATATTTCATCAAATTCATCAGTTCAAATGCAGCCTAACAGTTAAGTGATATTGGTAAAGAAATTACTGGAAAAGTGAACTTGGAGAGGTCTTGAATCCTCTCTAATTTGTATGGAGCTTCTGGCACTGCTATATGAAGCATGCATGTGAGAGACTGCCATTGGTTTAGACTTAGAGAATCTCCTACAAACATTAGAAGCTTCCCTCTGTAATTTGACAAAAAGTTTTGACCATCAAACCTGCAATTAACAAGATTAGTGTTCCTAATTAACTGTTCATAGAAGGAGAAGTCACAATCTGGAGCAGTTGATATTTACATAAAACTAATGTTTTAAGTTTGTATATCTTTTCTGGGGAGGGATGGGATGTGTGGTACGAGAAAGTGAGTATTAATGAGAGGTCCCAAATTCGAAACTTTTCACTTAAAAATTAAAAAAAAAAAAGTTTCTATACCTTTTAAGCGTTGGACATAAGTGGATGAGCTAAAATTGGGAAGAATTCAATTCTTTGAATTGTATGGCATCCTGCTCTTAAAGTAGGCAAATCTTAAAGAATTTCTTTTGTCTGAGAAAATTTTATGCTTGGAGAAAAAGCCTTGTCACCTTGTGAGCACGAGATCATCTTATGAACCAGAAAAAAAAAACTATTGTATTCACACATATTGGTCCCCCAATTCGGCTGCCCTTGCCTTTTAAGACAGGACCAGCTTAATGGAACTATAGAATCCAATACCTATTAGTTTTTTTTTTTTTAAAAAAAATAAATGATGGTACATAGAAAACTTACTCTAAATATAATATAATGGTATCTTTAGTTCTAACCAGTACAGTAAATTTTAAAAGAGAAAAAAGGAAGTATCAAGCAATTCATGTGTTCATAACTGCATTAATAATCTAAGTATCATTTTCAATTGTGAGTGGCTGCAACATATATAATAAACTGTGACTTGTGTTCATTCCAACACAAGCAAAATCATGGGGACAGGACAAGTGTGCTCCCACGAGGCCAGATTATACATACACATGTTACTTATTGAGGCAAATCATGCAACAAAACATATAATATCAAGATTCATTACGCAATTGGTTGATTACATCACCAAATTATAGATTACCGGTAGCTATTAACTAAAATGGAATGTTATAGTGCCTTCAAATAGAAGATTGGTAGCTAGACTACTTTTTCTAATTAGTTTGCACATATATATATATAGGCGACCGAAGTTCGAGACTTACTACTTAAAAAAATGAACTTAAAAATAAAATAAAAAAAGTTTTTATACATTTTAAGCGTTGGACATAAGTGGATCAGGTAAAATTTCCAAAGAATTCAATTCTTTGAATTGTATGGCAACCTGCTCCTAAAGTAGGCAACTCTTGCATCCAAATGTAGATTTAATCCTCGTTGGCAAGAAAAAATATGCTATACTAGATAGCGTCAAGTTTTGACTAGAATTCACATTTATGTTATGTGTCTCCACGCCATGAAAGTGCATCAAACAACACGCGTAACAAGATTTTTTTTCTGGTGAGTGCTCAATGAAAACTCATTAATACACTTTGATTATACTTACTATGTGAATACACACTCATAATTACTGTATCTTTTGCATTTAGACACTTTCTTAAATTAACTATACTTTTTTTATAAAAAAAAAACTAACACTTGAAACCCCTATTAACAAAATGGATACCGGTTAATCAGACCGTACATAATGTTTTCAAACCGATTGTTCATCCTCCCTTTTTTTTAAAATTTTTTGCAGCCAATAGCTCATCCTTTATGGTTCTTTTAGTTCACATTTGAAACCATGATGAATACATGTCTTGAAGACCAAAGACGCAATTAACTAATGAAAAGTCGAAAGTTGAAACGCACATTTGAAGAATTAAACATGCATGCATTTACCTTGTTAAGTTGCAGCTGTCGGGCTGCCATCTATATTTGAGATAGTCTTTGTCCGGTCGACCATTCTTTTGGCAATCAAACTCATTCTCAATGAAAGGACACTGTGTCGTATCATAAAGAGGATATGAATCATCAAGAATCCAACTCCCTTGGAAGAAATCACAGCCATTAATGGTGCCCGTCTCCCTAGCATGGATCAAGATTGATGATAAAAGTAGAAGAGCAGCAGCACCAACAATTGCAGTTAGAAGAAAACCGCCCATGAATACAGAATACTCGAAGGAATTCAGATCTTTTTGGGTATGTCTAAAATTTCTTGACTTTTAGGTTCTCATATAGAGGTTACAGGTTACGTGGAGTCGTTTGTTTTAGTGCGCTTAAATTTAAGGCTCAAAAGCTGGCCAAACAAGTGAACTCGGTGGTATTCAACTTGAAAAGAACGCAATTAAAGGGGTCAAAAAGTTAAGAAACAAAAACTTTTGCCCATTTGGAAGCACTGTAGTGAAGTATATATTAACAGAAGAAAGAAACAATGTTAAAACGAGGGAAGAAGAATTAGAGGAAAGGGATATAAAGCAAGTGTAATAATGGCGGTCAAATATTGAAGCCTAGTAGTGTAACAAAATTTTTGTGGTTTGTACGGAAACGGCCATTTGTACCAAGAATTGAGGTTATAATGACACTTCGAAAGAGAGATTTGAACAACAGAGAGGAATGCAAATTTGTGATTTTCTTTACTTGGCCAGGAAAGCCCATAAAAAGTTTGCTTGTATAAATTTTGAAAAGAATGGCTAGACAAGGTTTTTGTGGTGTATAAACTCCTTATACAATTGCATGAATCAGCAGCTCCGTTATAGAGTAGTTTCAAATTCCATAATAAGTAAAGAATTTTCTCTGAAGTTGCTAGACGAAGATCTTCTAATAATATTCTCATGCAATGAATAACCGGCCAAGTTGACTTTCATCGTTTTCTCATCTACCAAACGAATTAGTTGCTTCTAAACTTAGATAAACATATTTGCAAGAATATATAACTTCCTATGATCGTATCTCCTTTTGATTTGTTGCCAGTATTCAATTCCTTCGTTCTCCCACGATCCCATATTTTTTTTTCTTTCAACGCACTAAGATAGTCGGTTCTGTTAACTTACAAATAGAAGCACCAGCTGGTGTAAATCGAATGATAAACAAGATCCATCCAGTTCATGTGTCTACAAATAAATGAAACATAAGAGAAATTCAACATTTCGTCAAAGGAAAAAAAGTTATATTTCATGGTCCAACTTCTAGGTACGTAAGTCAAAGTAAATTCATTCCTGATCCATGGTTCTCATATAGGATAACAAGAAGCGCAAAAACAACAAAAAATGAAAAGAAGAAGAAGAAGAATTCAGCGGCTTGTCAATGTTTGAGCTGCTCCATCTGAATGTTCATAACACACTAAAAGTGAGTTTTATTCTCACAAGCATACGGCTGAATGGTGAGTCCATATTGCTTTCAAGTGAGGGCTGCAAATAGGAGTTGGTTCCAAGTATCAGGGATTCCCGGTAGACACCAATGGGTGCAATCCATCCCCCTGTGCCCTCCAGAGCCGTAGACAGAAGGGTGGCCATCTATTCTGAGTTTTGACAAGCTATATATATCTAGCAAATTAACCCGTTTCGAAAGTGGCTGCAAAACTTTCTCCAACACCACTTGCGGTTTACTGCGTACTCCTGGGTATATTAATGGCTGTCTCCATCTTTCACAGTCGAATGGTAGACCAGCAAACCTACAAGTCAAAAAAGGAAAAAAATGGGCGAGAAGGATCAATAACATATACTAGTTCAGAATCTGATATATAAAATGCGGAAAACAAAATATTCATGAAAACCAATTCTATCATCAACTCACCTATCATGATCTGGTGAAACTCCTTGAAAGAAAATCTTTGTTCTCCTTGGATCTACTCGTGACTCGACCCAACTTGCCCATGTATTTAGAGCAATTTCATATGCATGCAAACGATCCATGTTTTGATATAAAACCTTGTTGTATTCAATAATATCCCAACTGCAAAGACAATAGATATGTAAATACATTACTAAAGAAATTTCTTTGAAAGCTATTCATTGAGAAAAGAATATATATATATATATATATATATATATATATAGGTTTTTCAAGGATCTATTTTTTTGACAAAATTCTCTACTTTCTAAAAATAAATAGTTGTTGAAGAACGTACGGTTGTTTCCTCCCAGTGTGAAGCCACCAATGCCAAGTGTCGAAGATGAGCATATCCATTTTTTCCCATGTTTTACTCGAAGAAGCCACGGAATTCAATTTCAGAACCCGCCGGTCATTCTCTCTAATTACGTCGACCAAAAGCGCGTTGCGCGAGTACATTATCGAAACACCATATGTCTGCACCATTTGATTAGACAGATATATAACTAATTAATTAGTCGAGGATTTAATCAATATTATTCATTGGCCGAGGATTTACTCAATGAATATGGTCAAAGTTGGATGAAATATGAGATAAAAAGTTAGAAAATATGATCACGAAAAAACGTAGAAATTTTTTTTACAGAAAACTTCAATTCAAACAAGAACTAATTCACCCTGTTGAATTTTCGACATTGACTTGCTCTTGTTAACGTTTTTATCCAAGATAGATATTCATTGTCAATAATCTTACCGGGAAAGTGAAATTGGAAAGAGTACCAATCCTCTTTAACTTGTAGGGAGCTTGTGGCACTGCTGAATGAAGCATGCATGTCAGAGATTGCCACTGGTTAAGACTCAGTGAATCTCCTACAAACATTATACTTTTTCCCTTGAATCTTGACAAGAACTCTTTCCCATCGAACCTGCAATCAACAAAATCATTGAAGTTAAATATTAATAAGATCAGTAGTGTCTTATCTTAAAATTTTGTCGGTCGGCGAAACATACTTAATTTGTCTTTAATCACCGTACCTATTATGAAATAACAAGAATTATTTATACGTTATTTCGATTATTGCTTAAAAAAAGTTATTATTTACATGTTAAGCCACAGGTACATGTTCCTTAATATTTTCAACCAACGAAGGTCTGCACAAGAAGTAATCTTTCTAGCTAGGAAAATAGTCTCAACCTGACTTCTTAGACCCGTTAATGGAAACTCCAAGAGACCGCTAGTTGTAATTTGAGGATGCTACTCGATTAATTGTCTTTCCTTGTGCTTCTATGTAGGAGGTTGAAATAGACTAGGAGAAAAAGGTTCTCATTGAATTCAACCTCCTACTTCCACACAAGTTATGGAACGTTAATTTGCCAACACAAAATCTATAGTACTATAGATTATTAAAAAAAAAAAGAAGAGATTATTCATGAATCATGACTGTGATATACTAGTAGTAATATTCAACAAATTTGTTTTTGCAAGAATAAATTGCGAAAAAGACCAACAATAATGTGTGGGAAGCCATGGTTTTAGGGAGAAAGCTACGTGGTGGCCTGGTGGGCAACTAGGCAAGGGAGTACTTAATGGTTGTGTGAGATAAGTTAATCCCACAATCTCCAAAAACACCGGCAGTTTTCTGCCTTTTTTGCACCACTATTCTACTCTTGTCGTCCTCCAAGGTAACTCCCAACTAACTAACTGGAATCAAGAATCCAAAACTAACTGAATAATCAAACAGTAGAAAAAAAAAATCTCCATTACTAAACAATCATTCTAGCTAGCACTACCAATTACTAGTTAATTATCTCCATGCAGCAAAAAAGCAACAGGACGTGGGAAAGTAAGTACTATCCCCCCCCCCCCGCCCCCCCCCCTTTTCTTTATCAAACTCTTATGTTGTTTGTATAGAAAACTTTCTAAGGAAATTCCTCGATTGCCAGGAAGTAATTGTTTGTGTAATCATTTGTATTAACGTATGACAAACCTTGCCTACAAAAAAAAAAAAAAACCATGGTGGAAAGAAGAAAGCACGAGCACATAAGAAACTTATGGCGGTGGTATATATGACGAGCAACATAATTACCTTGATACGTTGCAATTTTTGGGCTGCCATCTATATTTGAGGTATTCGCTGTCAGTTCTGCCATTGTTTTGGCAATTGAACGCTTTCTCAATGAAGGGACACTGAGTATACTCATAACCAGGATATGAATCATCACGAATCCAACTCCCTTGGAAGATATCACAGCCCTCAGTTCCCTGTCGGCCAACTTTCCTATTGGACTCTCCTTGTACTTTTGCTGCATGATTGAACAACGATAGTAGAACCAGTGCACCGAGTGCAGCAGCATAAGCTGCAGGTACTGGTAGAGAAGAACTGCCCATGAATATTGCTAAAGAGTATAGAAGGAATAGAACTAATTAATTTTTGGCATGACTATGAAGATTAACATTGAGGTGCTTATATAAGGACTTGGGAGTTATCTAGTCTAAGATGGACTAGGAAATCTGAATAAAGTGGAATTGCTTAACGTCAAGGACCCGGACTGGACTGAAAAGAGTCCATCACTTGTTTGAATTATGAAGTGAGAAGGATTTGATCGTTTAGATAGGTTTCCAAACAGCATATATATATATGAATACAAAATCAATAATGGTTTTGGAGCTGGACATTTAATTTCATCGAATTAATACTACTTGTTTTAGTTTTGTGGGACTAATTAGTGTATATGCCAGTTTGGGCGTCCCAATCCGAATTTCATCAACTTTCCAGATCCACTTAGGGCTTGCAATAATACAATTCTTGCAACAATTTAGGGTGAGACAAACTAAGTACCGTATCAGAGGAGTTCTAAACGTTAAGAGAGGCAAAAATAACGATTTGAAGACTTCTCCCCCCAATGACAAGGCAAAATAACCATTTGAAGATTTCTCCCCCGTTGACAAGGCAAAATAACGATTTGAAGATTTCCCCCCCCACCGCCATTGGCAAGGCAAAATGATCATTTGAAGACTTCTCCCCCCATTGCCAAGGTAGAATAGACCATGATTTTCAAGGGATTCTAAGCAAATTAAAAAAGATATCATGTAATTTTTTTCATTAAACGAATTGACTTCTAACAGTAATGCTTTTTGGATTTTTTATGCTTTTTTAATGAGGAAGGCTAGTTTTCAGAAGCCACGTAACGGGGGAAAAGGGAAATTTGAACCTAAGGTTTTTAATTCTTAAATTTTCAACTTTAATCACTAGATATTTTGAATTTGCCTCTATGTATATATGGCAATTATTTTTGGATTTCACTTGTAACACTTCCTTAGCTTTTAATAAAA